AATAATAACAACATTTAATACTAAGTAATGCATTATAAATTTTAACTTATTTTTAATGAAAAATTTAAAATACGATACTAAGAAATTTAAATCAGTGTATAATTAAACAGAACATGTTGATCATTGGGCTGTTATAGTAACATTTCAGAATATATAATAAAAAAAAGATTTTCTTCTTGCATCATTCACACCATTTATATATATATTATTTTATTGAATCAAAGGCAAGCATTTAATATTTAACTAATTCAATAACATGGGGATTGCAATAGTTGAAAACAAAATGACTGTGTTTTATTGATAGTTAAAACTGTAATAACAAACAAGGATTAATCTCAACAAAAACACAGTGCCTATTGAAAAATAAATCTGATGTCGGACGCAGTGTAATTACAGAATTGTATAGTTTTGATACATCGTTTTTGAAATAGTCTGGCAGATTTGTATTTTTTATACTGGTACTCGACATTTGTATACCTTCACGACCAGAGATTATAAATATATGTAGATATAATATTGGCACGGAAAACTAAAGGGGAGTGAACTGTTTTTCTTTTTATATGACAGATATTTTGTTTKTTATTTTGAGTATGTGTGTACAATTTGTCATCGTGGGTAGCTTATCCGTATAAAACAGATACACCGTTATTACTGTTTTATCGGTAAACATAACAGCAAAATAGCAATGAATAAAATTACCATCGTCAATATTATTTTCTTAAAAAATAAAACGTGGAAGGATAAAATAATTGAATGGTTTGGAGACGATTGGATTAAGACAAAGTTATTTTTCAAAAAATAAATGACTGTTTATTTACTTTGAATATAAAATTCAAATAACCATATTGATGAGTATATAAGTAATATAGGCTAATTAAAAGTATTGTCCGTTTTTAATAAATGTGCATACCTATACGATTCATAAAATCTCAAAAAATATTTTTATTACCAACTAAAACATTATTTCTACAATCCTGATAACTATTTTTGTAGATCTATTGGTTAATATAATTTAAATTATAATGATCAATACCACAGTTCTTTAGTATATATTATATTGTAGATCAGTACATTAAACTAGGTACCCGGAATGTACTATATTATCTAAAATGTTCTTGTCATGAAGGACATTAATATATTAAAATATTACATTGAATATTATTTAATAAACAATTTAGACCACATGTTTAGCTTCGTAAACAAATTATTCATTATTAATCTCAAAAACATTTTAAGGCACGATAACAATACAATGTATTATCATTATACCTACATAAATAATAACAGCTAACACATTATATTACATCTTAATTTATTGTTAGTTAAAAATGTAATTTGGTAGGTACCTACTTCATATTTTTTATTAAAAAAAAATAAGAACTTTTACATACATATTTAATTTAGTCATAAAATGTATAATTCAAAAACATAATTTCAAGATTTATTATTTAATATTTGAATGGAATAAAATTTTGAACATAAAAGATTAATAGGGAATTGAAAATGTTCGAAAATGTCTTCATATAAACGTATATTTGTCTGCATATGAATTATAAATTTAATTAAATAAATTGTAATCACTAATATATAAACACGAAAAAAATAGTTACCGAAGTTGACACTTAAAACGCAATATACATTATACACACCATACGGTTTTGTTCTCTACTTTATTCGCTACATTTATTTCCGTTTTGTTGCAGATTTTAATCTTCTTTTATAAAAAAATAAATTTTCTAGACATCAAATAAAAAATGTGAGTGTGATGTATGTGTGTGTATGTGAATGTGTGTATATTTGATGTGAGTAGCACACTATAATATGGCACTGAAGACCGACACCCGAGGACTGCAAACATGCCGAAGACAAAGATTGAACACGCTTCGCTGGAGATAATATTTAATCGTACTAAATCTCGAATCAGTTCTTTCAATGACATATTACACTACAATATGGAAATATGCTTTTATTCCTCTTGTTAATCAGTTATCGTCACAAAATAGTTTTTTTATAAACACATTTTTTAAACAATAGTTTAAAATACAATAAAGATGATAGACCTAAGTGTATATTATAAATTTTTTATTTTAATTCAATAACTTACCTATAGATTTTTTAGAAATGTGGTGGTAGTTTTAATAATATCGTATACCTCTCAAATATTGTTGATAAAAATATAATTGAAAAATAATAAAAGCATTCCAAACTTTTTATTACATTTAATATATAGGTACCTAATACTTTCAAAACATATCTATTTACAGCTGCAACTCCTTGTATATTCTTTTAATAATACTATGGAATGTTCACTCTTTTCATAATATTTAGTTAATGTGTGTAGCCACACATGTTTACATTAATTTTTTTATGATAAACAAAATAAATTTGATTTGACTAATTAAAAATGAATTAAAATATATAAATTTAATTTTTTTAAATTTTTACTGGATTTAAAAAATAAGTTTACTGCTCGAAACTAGCACAAAATATAAATTAAACTATTTACTTATCGTTTATGTTTTCTATGACTCTCTTCATAATGCAATTATAATAATTATTTACCAGTAATAAGACTCCATTTTTACAAATGTTAAGCAATACTATTATTTCAAATCTATGAAAATAATTTTATTCTTATTAAAAATAATCGATTGTTCATTGAATCAGAAATAACTTGATACAAAAGGGGTTTTACCTGAAAATTTWAAAAAAAATTTATATTCAAAAAATTAAATTATTATGTACATATTATACTTTGAAGAATATATAAATAATCTAATAACCATAGTTATTGATGCTTATAACCATGAATAAAAAAAAAATTTTAATACGTGGTGCACTTATTTATATCTTATATCATTAATATCAAGTAAAATTTAGTAAATGGTCATGCGGTATCAAATGTATATTGATCTTTGTACGAATGTAAAATATTAAATACATTTTATGAAATCTAAACGTCGTTTTACAATTATTATTTGAATAATTTTGTATGGTTTAAGCCTAACACATTATTTCATATTACCTCACAATAGTAAAGATATTCTTATTGACTATTACATTGTTATACATTACGATACTATAATCAATGTTTTGTGATGTTTTTTCACAAATTAAAACGAATAGTTGATTTTTCTAAAATAATAAAATTGTAATATTATGTGCATAAAGGGTCTGGGTACCTACGGGCATTAAATAGATTGGTGTACGTTAACAATTCACCACATCGTATGGTAATAATTTTAACTCAGAATATATAGCATAGATTATTCTGAGATTATAGTGTCTCGTTGTTATCTTAAGACGTTTACGGGAGCATAGCGGAATAATAAATTTCAACACACTTGGTGCGAAGAACAAGCCACACAAGCCCCAAGGACGTGCGACATCCTATGGTCTTAGTGTAATGAAATTTTTTTTTCTAGTCAAATKATTTGAAATAGTTGCTCTATTAACTATTGTAGGTGTCTAAATGATATTGTACTACAACTGGTTATGAACATTATTTAAATAATATAATGTTTAATATACTTTAATGTAATATTAGTATTGCTATTTTTTTAGTCAAGTATTACTTAGTTTTTCATAATACATATTTTATATTATATTTGTTTAGAAATGACTTCACAAATATTCTTAATTTGCATATGTATTATATGTACATTTAACATAATTTATTAAGATTAAAAAAAAAAAAAAATCGTTACGAAAATACAAAATTTAAATGTGTAATAATACCAACCAATAATAGTATACAAATATATTATATGCATAATAGTTCATTATATTACGTTTACGTATTAAGACTTAAGAGGAACCGTTCATAATATTTATTTGTTAAGAACCTTTTCATAGTACGAAAGAACCAGTACCTATACGCAAAAAATGGTTTTCATCCTCTTACAGAAATTATACAAACATATTTCCATTTTTTTCATATTATATACTTCTAATTTTGTAATATTTAATGTCAATGCTTAATAGTTATTACCATAAATTATTAATACCTAATAGTTTATTATATATTGTGTAAGGAATTAACCAACTTTTAATGATGTCGGGTGATCGACCTCATAGTCTCCCTTAAAAACCACCATGCTCGGTCTATTACGGTCCTTATAACAACAAAGAATCAGACACCAAATTTTAACCATTGAAAGAAAAGAACATTTTATGAGTAATGTTGAATTGTTTTCGAAATATTATTAAAATGCCCTAAACTAAGCCCTTAAATATAGAATGAATGGAAACACAGAGTCTTTTTATTACTATTTAAAGAATGATAGTAATACTTTTATATAAGCCGTTTTAATAAATATGTATCTGGTACATATAAAAACAAAAGTAAAACATGCGAAATAGAGTGATTTTACAGTCGTACTTGTACTTTTATGAGAAAACACTAGATGTTTTAGATCATTGGTGCAAAATCGATTCATCCAATTGTCTAAACCTTCTGAATGGAAAGTTTAGTTCTAGGGATGAATTTTAGGAATTCTATTAAAAACTAGGAAATCATTAAAATATATTTGCCTACAAGTGAATAAGCCGTATTATGTTCTGGTTATGCAAGCGTGTAAAATGAATATAATATTCTTCAAGTATGGTGAAGTATAAAATACTAATTATTCAACTGACAGTTTTATATCACCGCCACTGTTGTACATAAAGCCTATTTGAATATTGTCTAACTTGCAGGACCGTCGAGTCTGGTGAGTGTTGTTTTTTTAGAGATCATAAAAGCGGTGGTAAAATAATTGTATTCGAGTTTAACATGGTATAAACGTGTAATATTATGCGGTAGACCATGAAGTCGATAAGTATCTATGGTGATAACAATGAGGAAAAAAAAACTAGAAAACCCGTACGAGACGACGAGTATATAATATTATCTGGAAAGCACATGCGTACGGTGCCGCCCACCGAGTAGGAAGGCGCCGACTGAGGTAGCTCGCCGCCCGCTGTTGCCTCCACGGCACGCCGTCAGTGCTCACGCCGCAGACCGAACGTCCGCATCGTGTATGCCCACACGCGTTGTTGGGTAGGTGAAATCTCGTGGGTCCCACGTGCGCGGCCACCGTATTGTTGTCACTGTCGATACAATTACCGGAAGTCCGAATCACTGTCGCGACCGAACCAGCAAACACCGGCAACCGGAACTATCAGTTCCCGGGGGATGGGGGTGTTCTGGGGTTTTAATAACATTATCATTATGACGCGTCCGTGCTGCTAGGAAAGTATACACGTACACACTTACCATGCTGTTGTTTTGCCAAAGACCGGACCGGTATGTGGTCATCTGGCTGTTCCAGATACTCACCGTCATCTGTGCAGGTAAGTCGAAAACGTATTGGCCACGCTTGGCATAGGTACCGCGCTGTAGAGGTTGAGTGGCAAAATACTCTGTTGCATATACGAACCTTGACCTAAATGTAAGACTAGACATAAATAACAACCAGATAATCAAGCACATTTTTTAAATTGAATACTTGTAAATCATAATAATGAGATTGTAGACAGTAAAAATATTATATACTTTAATTTAGAAGTTTTCTAAGACATATTTTCAATAAATATCGGCTCGTGAATAAAAAATGAAAATCAAGTTATTTGTTAATATTTTTTGGTTTACCAACACAAAAATGAAATACTTTATTCAATTACGTTTGATAACGTTAAAATATTCAAATTTTATTTAAAACAAAAAACTAAATTGACTTTACTAAAAGCAATACCTTAATATGCTTTAAAAACAACTTTTATGTTCATAGTAATATTCACTTTTGATACTTAAGTATGACATAAAAATGTAGGTTCTTATATTTTTAGTTTAATGCTTAATTCTAGCGGCTTGATCCAAGATAAAAAGTAAAATATTTAAATCTATCATAGGCCGATGAGAAGTTTGATTAAGCCCAACCTTTACCTTACCCAAATTTATGTAGACCCATACATTTTTAAAATAATATTCTAAATTTACTTATTTAATACTTTCAATAGAGAAAAAAGTTTAGTTTTATCATTATCATGTAGGTATATGGTATTAGGCATAGATTAAATAAAGTCCACAACATCATTGTTTTCATTAATTTATATTATGATATCTAATAATAATATTATTGAATATATTATCTAGTGTAGTATTAATAAAACAATTTTTTATTCCATACATTTAACCAAAAAAATAAAAATAATACACAACAACTAATCTAAAATTATACTATAATTATATTTTATTTATTTTCTTCATTACCAATTACAACTTCGTCAAATGTAAATTGTTGACATTTTTATAATATGGACAAATTATATTTATATAATTTAATAAAATTAAAGTACTGTACATTTCATAATATTTTTACACGGAATTATAGTACTGACAATTGGTTAGTGGTAATACAGTTTCTATAATACTAAAATAAAGAACAAAGTATTGTGTAATGTAATTAACATATCAAAAACAGAAAGAAATGTTATTAGGAGACATGATTTCTCAACTAATAAATTACGTGTTAATATTATACGTACGTCGTACACGCTATAAATCTTGATAAAAAAATATTTTTATTTTTATTAAATACTGATTTATCTAATAATGTATATTACAAGTATTTAATTACGGTGTGAATTTAGAGATTCAAGCAACCTCATTCGTCAATTATAAAACAAAAACATAAGCTTGTTACTTTAAGTTATAATAATTTGGTATAAGTTTTTTATGTCAATATGGTATATTTTTATTCTAATTTAAAAAAACAAAAAACACATTTTTATGTACATTCTAAAGTATAAACCTCGATAGAAATTATTGTTTTCTAGAATAATGATACGCCATTGATTTTTAAGCCAAATTTATATGATTTATAATTTTAAAAAGTTTAACAACATCTCATGTGAAATGTTGTTTTAACCATATTCCACAAAACTTTAAATATAGAAAACATATTTTTATTTTACATAATTTATTTTTGGTAAAAAAAATCATAAAATAACATAAAATATATATAATAACAGTTCTTCAACAATAAATTAATATAATTAGTATATAAGATTATTTATATACTTATTTAAAATATTTTTAATTATAATGTAGTTATTTAGGTAGTTTTTCGAATTAAAGAATAACTACAAATTCTAATATTATTTAGGTACTGTAGATTTACAATAATTATTGTACATTTACATTTTAACTATATTGATTTTTCAATTGCCACTGTTATATCGTATGTCAACTTAACTAATCGCTAACTTAATATAATGTAATTAAAAATATTATATACTATTTTCAATTCAATTTGACTTAAAACAACTAATATTTTGTTCAATAAGATAATTTAAAACGAAATATATCTTTGAATACCTACTTCATCAATTATATATGCTATTTATTCAAAGAATATTTTTTATTTCATTTAAATAAATATTTAAAAGAAAAAAAAATTATAATATATTTTCTTTGATCATGAAAAATTCAATAGATAGTAAATTAATAACTGTATAAAATAATAATATTCATTTATAATTTATTAAGCATTTAAATAAAATAAATAATAATAAAATTCATAATATTTTTTGTCTAGTCAATATAATATTCTTAATTGGCATCAAATGTTAATAAATCTATAAATAAATTAATAATTCCTGTAACCAAGTAGGTGAATCGTATAATAATAAGTTTACTCACTTTTCAAAGTTAATTTGTGAATTAATTTTTGAGGAAATTGTAAAACAATGAACTATGAACAGTCAAACAATTTGATGTTGATCGTTTCTAAAATAATTTTACAGGCAAAAATATTTTATATCTAAACATATTTTTTATATTCATAGCATAAAATATATAAAATACATAGATAAATCATAGTATAGTCACAACTTATTCTAAAATGGTATAATTATAAATCACATTTAAGATATTTTTCTATTTAATAAGAAATACTTACATAATATTTTAGATAAAAATGTATCTTGAATTATGGTATTGATAACATTGCACATTAAATAAATTTGAGAAAATCTTAAATAACACTTTATAAAAATATCTAAATGTATCTTATGATTATTTAAATTGGCATTAATGCACTTAATGTACTTATGCACGATAATTTATTTTTACATTTTAAAAATATGGACAACAACTATCTTGATTTTATTTTACCAAGAATTAAACATTATAATTGACTTGATGAACCTGTAAAATCATCAAACCTAATCAAACACATATTAAAGAGATATACAAACCCTCATTTAATGGTAAGTACCCCAATTATCAATGGCTCCTTTTTTAAAAATTGTATATATATATTTAATTGTTGTTATTTATATTAATATTAATGAGTTAACGTATTGTTTAACAGATTTTTTGAACATTTTATTTATCCTAAATTCACTGTATTAAAATAATTTTGACTATGGTTTTTTTGAMAGTAATTATCGTTATTTTGATATACAAGGATTAGACTTTGATAATGTTAAAAGAATATTTATTTACATTTGTTTCTATGTAAATGAAAATGTTCAATAATAATACTTACAAAGTAACTAGGTATTAAAAAAAAAAAGTAACTATTTATATCTATTTTTTGTGGTTTATATAGCATTAAGTTATATTAATTATTTATATCCTAAACGGAGTGAGAATTTATTGGTTTTTATGATTTTATAAAGATAAAAATGTATTTTCTTTTATTTGTAAAATATTATATTATAATATTTTTTTAGGAGCTCTAAAAGTTTCATATACCTCTAAATTGTATATATGAAAAAATTAATTATAGAAAAGTGTTTAAAAATAAAATAACGATTAAATATACCTACGATGCCTTGATACTGATCGGAGCAATTGAACTAGCTCCCCAATACGGGTAGTCAATATTTTACCCTTACTAAGTACCTTTGAGTTGGCTCCCAAGAATTTACTATTGAATTGGCTCCCAACCGTTTTTTTTCAAAAATGTATTGGTTGCCAAAATGTTAATAATCTAAAGTACGTATAGTTCGTAATTCGTATATTTTACATCGTTACACAAAATTAAATTTAAAAATTTAAAAAACAGACAGTATTTTAAATAAGTGCGTCATTATAAAATGTATACATACAAATTAATAAACTAAATAAAAATATTATATTAGACTTTTTTTCGGGGCCTATACTTATTATTATTATATTTATTGGCCAATCTTTATATGTATTGAAACCTCGAATTTACACCAGTATCATATTTACTAATTTCATTTCCTAAAATTTTTATTTTATCTCTAATTTCTTTCCTGTGTGGTTATGTTGTATTTGAACTCCTCATAATAATTTTTGTATCAGATTGAATACTATATAATATATATTTAGAAAGTTGAATATATTTGGATTTTACGTCATAAAATTAAACGCCTATAATATGAGAACCCCCGGTTAATAAATAATATTTCACAATAAATTTAAGAGGCCAATTCAAACATACATTTTTCAGGTGCCAATTCAAGGATTGAATTTATATTTACCCAAAATTCAATGGTAGCCATACTGGTAATGTTTAAAAATAAATCTTGATTTAAATTATAATCTTCTATTACATTTTATAAATGAATTTATCTTTGTAGGGTGTTATCACAGGGTGTCCTCTCTAATCACAGGATTTATGTATTTAATTTTATTTGTCACTTATCAAACTTACTCATTGGATAAAGAATATATATAGATTGTAGATTTACTTCAATTGAAAAAAACTTGACTTAAATTTGATTATTATTATATGTTTTTTTTTTTTAAATATATACCACTAAATAAATTCAAATTCACGGTTTAAAGTTTATAAAATGATATTTTATTAAACCATATTTCAGATATCAAATTTAAAATAAAATTGAATTAACTAATATACGTATCAGGAAAACTTATAAAATATAAAATAATTTACTTTAAGGTAGAATCATCACTGTCCCCCTTTCAATCACGTAATTCAATCTAATACACGTAAACATCACCCTAATTTTCTCATTATATATTATATTTATGGAGATTGTAAGTAAAATATATTATCGATAAAAAAAATTTTAAAAATCTAAAATCTTTTGTACCTATTGTAACTTTAMCTTTATTATTTTCTAAAATATATATTATGTGTCACTACTTATTATTGTATACAAATAAAGTTAAGATAATATTTAATATTTCATTAATCGTTTATATTATATAAATGTTATAAATGAAATGTTTATTAATAACATACTTATTCGAGATTGTAAAGTATCTTTTAATTAAGTATTGAATAATAAATTCACTCACTACGAGGTCAGTTTCATCGAAGTTCTCAGTAACTGAATAAAAATACATTTTG